ATGGCTGGTGACGGGGTCTTGTAGTTTTGATCGTTGTTTCTATGCCTCGGACTTGACCCCGGTTGCGTCATCTGACTTTGGGCCCAGTTTGGAATATGTTCAGCCACCCGGTTACGTAATTGTTGCTCTGTTCTACTCACGTAGATCGCTCCGCACCCACATTGGAATTGGTAAACCAGATTAGAGTTGACGTACAGAGGCAGACGTTCTTTTAGCAGGAGTGTGGGTATTCCAGTTGTCTGATAGACGATTTGGGGTCCGCTGCACAGTAGATTCGATCAATTGCCGATCTCAGTCGGTTTTTGCGCAAACAGCTTACGTCGTCAAAGTGATTCAACCGTTTCTTTTATAATTCTTGGTTTATTATGTTTAATAACGAACGCATCGGAGTAAGCGTTTTCTGATAACATCTCCCAAAAGTTTTATAGTTCTTGTTCAATTTTATCTTCCGTGCAGATCCGCCTCGTTCTGTCGAATAGCGTCCGAACAAGACCACGTTTATACTCCAGGGGCACAAAGCTCTCAAAATGTAAATATTGGCCTGTTCAGGTTTCTTTTCGGTAAATGGATAGGGTGATCGTTACATTTTCTCTTGGCTTCATACTGATGTCAAGGAAATTTAGTGTGTTGTGAACCGAATATTTGGATGTAATCTATTAAGTTCAGCCAGAATTACTGTAGCTTCCTCTAGGCTTTCTCTTATTATAAGGGTCTCGTCGATGTATGTAACACATTCTCAATTTTTCGCCGGGGAGCGATTCAACTGTGCAAATATCCTATTGGCGCAAGAGAAGTATGAGCTTTTAAGTAATTCCTATAATAAAACTTTGACTTTGGCGATGATGACCCGGTGGGCATAGGGTTAGTCTTCAGTCTTCAGGATTGAGGGCAGAGGGCAGGGTGCTCGTGTAAGCCCCATCACCACTGGGTCGAAGGTCCGATCACAAGTGTTCGTTCCTCCATAGCCCCTGCAGGTGCTCAACCAGACGCCGTTGGAAAGCACCGTCTGTCTTCTCTTCCACGACAATCGCTGGAAGAGAATTCCAGAGTGTTGTTGACCTACGCGAGAGTCGGTAGACCAGCGGAAGACCAACTGACTGAAGTTTCCGCAACGTGAGAGAGTGCCCCCGCGTGCGGTGCTCTGTCCGTAAAGGGAAGTGCTGTTGCAGCTCCGAGCCCATATCACCTCTCAGGATCTTCCTCAGGAAGCTGAGATCTCCCCTGAGGCGTCGATACGTAATTGGGAACAGACCAGTAGCCCGTAGACGACCTTCATAGCTGGTCCCACGTAGTCCAACAACGAGTCTAGTGGTAGCACGTTGTACACGCTCCAACTTGGTCAGTTCACCGGTCGTGTAGGGGTATGTCGCCGCACCACCATACTCAAGTCTTGGTCTGACATGGGAAGCGTACAGCAGCCTGAAAGCGTCCATCGTGAGCTGGTTGAATGACCGCCGAATAGGCCCCAGAATGCTCCATGAGCTAGCACAGACCAGATCGATGTTTTCTCTGGTATTTAATGATGACGTAACCATAACACCAAGGTCTCGTTCGCATGATATTCTGCGCAGTGTGGTTCCCTGGAAGTTGTAGACTACCTCTGAGTCAGCACGCCTCAAGTACAGGTGAGCACACTTTGCTGTGTTGACTGGAAGAGCCTAGGTATCCGCCCACTGAGCCAGGTTGTTCAA